CAAATCTAAAAGGGGTTGGTCTGGAGTAGCTTCATTATTCATAGGTGTGGTTTGGGCGTAACGGAAATAAACCAATAAGAGCGTCATATCACATTCCCTTTAAGAGTATGAAGAACGAGGTGCGCCTACGCTATCTCACGACCAATTCGTACGAATTCGTACAAGTGATTCAAAAGTGGTTAATTCGTACTAGTTCATACGACCTCACTCATACGAATTTGTACAATTTGTCTAAACCCACGTGACGGTTATGTTTAGGGGCGGGGTCAGGGGTAGGTCATTCGTACGAATTCATACGAATTGGCTAATTCGTAAAATATGTACGATTTAGCAAAATCGTACTAATTCGTATGAGTGAGGTCGTACGAATTGTTACGAATTAGCCACCTCGTAAAATTCGTACGAATTCCCGTGAGATCGGGTTGGGTGCGCTTGTTCCATGGCGCAATTCTATTTTAACGGCGCATTTACCAGACGCACTTCACAATCGGTTCACAGCCGAGGAGATCGATGTTCTCGTCAGGGCCGTAAAAGAAAGAGAAGTGACATTGGGGATGGGACAAACCCACCCAAATTAGCTTCGGTTAAACATGCATATAATAACTTGGGTAAATGTGTAAGTTTTATGCCTATTTTTCCCATCATCATGGACACAACAATGATTTCCCTCATGTTTATATATTTTTTCTTATAATAATGTATCATTTGCAAAAAGTAAAATGCATCTGTGTAGCTGAGAGAATCATCTACAGTGTATGCGCGTTGTTCACACTCTGTATTATGCCCAAGCATGCGCACTTAAAATTGCACCTGAATGTACGCGCAACGCGCCACTGACTTTAGACCAGGTTTTTTCTGGTCATTGGTGCAATTGTTTTCTAGAATTGCAAAATAGCACCAGGGACTGTTTGTGCCGACACACGCCTCCTTTTTGCGCCAACCCGCACAGGGAGCGCAAGTTTATTTCCTAGTTTACCGACGTGCGTCTGTGGAGGAAAAAAACTCGCTTTGCGCGTGCAAAATAGGAATGATAAATGCGTCAGTGTATAACGTCATTTGCGCCGTGTGCAAGATAGAGCCCTCGATGTGACGTAAGTGGTCTGAAATATGAAAATTCTGATCTTTACGCATCCTGATGTCATTCCAAACCTGCATGACTTTGTTCTTCAATGAGTAGTTACAAATTCTGAAGACTGTGCAGTCTCATTGCAATTAGAGTGAATGGGGAACATTACTAAGGATGTAGCAGCACCATAAAAGTGGTCTATGACTCATGCATTATATTCCTGCAAAGTTTCCTAAAGACATTCAATAGCTTTGTGTGAGGAACAGACTGAAATGTGCATTGTTATCCAACTGATTATATCCCCTTCCAGTGAGCCACTATTGAAATCGAGAAACTGGAATGAATTATTCAGACCGGGTTTATGAACTGGACAAAATGATACAATGTAATGAACTCAAAAGAACACTTCCTTCTCGAATCCTACACTACTTCTCATTAACTTGCTAAGGAGAATGTAAAGGTCTTTGGTCTCATTTATAAAGCGTGCGTACGCACAAAACAGGGCTGGAAACGTACGTATGCCAGTTTCCACACAAAGGTTGTGATCTATAAAAAATGTGCACACCGACATTCTGGAGACAAAGGGAATTGGCCACACTGATGTTGAGCTGGAGTTAAATGTCTTTTTGGTCACTTTTAGACCGAAAATCTAATGAAAATTATAGCCTATAGGCTACAGAAAGATAATAGCCTACAAATATAATTTCACTCACCAAGCCTGTCACTTGAAGCCAATATCCATCCCTTCTTAAAGGTGCCATGTGTCAAAAAAAAATCAAATCATACTCCATATTCCATACAAGATGGGGGCAGTATACCTCCAGAAAGTGAGTTGTGCCGCGGCCGCGGAGATTGGAGATTTTTAGAGATTAGAGACTATATGAACAACATCTCAACACTGAATTATAAAGGCCGTCTCATTTCAATACGATATACGATATGGGAAATGAAAGCCCGGGCTATTATTTGAAGTTTTACGGTATTCGTTTTGTTCATATTCCATTTTTATTATTAGTTTGAATTAATTTGACTGACAGCATTCGCTGATGTTGACCAAGCTAGCGCCATTCAGAGCTGCCAACTCTCACGAATTCACCGTGCGACACGCAGTTGACACTTTTCACACGCTCTCACGCCACACATTAATTTTGTCACGCACAGAAAAGGACACGGAGACCAACAGACTAGACAGAGCAGGTTAGTTATGATTAGAGCCCGACCGATAAAGGATTTTGAAGGCCGATACCGATACAAATATTTTTGGGTTTTAAAATCCGATATTCCGATATATCGGCCGATATTTTATTTATTTATTTATTTGAAACTGGACATGATAGTCACAAATTTTGTCATGCTTTGAGTTAAGAGAACTGATGGGGATGTTCTTTTAATTGTTATTCAAGCAATATACTGTATGTATCGTGACCAACTTAATGAATGTTGCCAACAGGGACAGTGTAGAGTGCCCTCTGGTGGACAAACTATACAACTCCAACACTCATGACATGGTTCAAGCGTGTTTCGTCCGTTTTTATTTTATTTTTGAAATATTAATTTATCGGCCATTATAACTGCCGATACCGAAAGTTTGGAAAATGCCTAATTTCGGCCGATATTATCGGTCTGGCTCTAGTTATGATATATAAAAAAATCTCAGCTCTCAGATACTGTCAATTTTATTACTTGTAAATGTTACACGACAGATCCCTAGCGCACGAGAACCTATTATCTCTACAAGCTAATGTAAAAGAACACTGTTGAAAGATACAGTATGCTACAACTTACCTAAATGTATTCCCCATGCATAATATCGATCGACCATTCATTTTGTTTAACTCTTCCCTGAACTGAAATGTAGTAGCGGGCTGTATTTCCACATGATTGACATCAGGTTCAAGTACACACTCAGTCAAGCCGTGTGAGTTATTCGTGTATTGCAGTTTGGCTGGTGTTTATGTTGCCCGCCCGCATACCGCCTCCAATGGCCGAAACTGGTATTATGACACCTGCCGGCCCGGGCTAGTAATTTAACATTTTTTTTATGACATCATCAGCCTTATTTCTTCTCATTCTTTTGATGCGTGTAGCTAATTTTCTTGGATATTTTAACCTCAATTATGACACATGGCACCTTTAAATGTCCGCGCCAGCAAGCACGTTGGACCGTTTAGTGAAACTGAGGCACATATAACCTATAATCTAACGGCAGATGAAGTAAAACCGTAAATCTAATGAACATTGATACATAAAAAATTTATCTTATTTGATTTATTCGTTCAAAAACAAGGCAAGGATATAGGCTACTAAAAAATAATAATGATAATAATTTATTTTGACACGGCACATCTGTATTTCATATTTTCCTAACGTCTTTTACCTCAACATGGAATCACATGGATGAATAATCATATGCAAATGATATGAAGATGAGGATATGCATATTTAAACTAGGCGTTGTAAGCTCCATATGGTTATTTTGGGTAGATGACGCATGTGTGCACAATCTTCGGCTGACTGGGATTTATAAAGTGAATTCTGCGCAGGTTCTGGCGTACGAATGGTTTTATAAATCGGAATATTTTTTGGCGTATGCCATTTTTGACTTTCGGGCACACGTACACTTTTAGTAAGGATCCTACGCACAGTTTTATAAATGAGACCCCTGGTCTTCAAAAGACTAAAGATATATCACAGAAGTCAAAATAAACACTCTTGTGGTGTTCTTGTATTCCATTCATTGCACCAGCAGTCTTCAAAATGTCTCCTTTTGTGTTACCAAGAACATGTTCCTGGATCAGCATCTTTATTGATTTGAGAACAACATTCCAATCAACCAATCAGATTTGAGGGACAAGATTAAAGTTTGTCAAGTTTAGGCTTACAATCTAAACAACCTAGGCTTACAAGTTTAGGTGCTTCTACATCAGTGTTATTCACCAATCACTTCCCTCGGATTTTAGGATATGGTTAAGACTAAAGTTTCAGACAGGAATGTAGTTCCAGGATCAACAAAATATGTTGATACAGGAACATGTCTTGGAAAAATCACAGTGACCAAAAAGGCCAGTTTTGAAACCACACTAGGAGGGAATGATCAGAAAATTGCATTCCTTTTTCATACTTCAATGGACTAATGCACTGAACGCTAGCACATCATGCTGTATTTGGTTTACAAAAAAAAACGTCCCCCCAAAAAGCATGAAAACAAAGACATTCCTGCCAGCTAGACAACAATGGTGAGGAACACGCCCACCCCATCATCACAAAGCCCACGAGAGTCGACGCGAAACCTCCCAGATGGAGAAAAAGAATTGCTCATCAACATGAAGAGCAACAGAAGGGTGTAAAGGGATGCCTGAACATCTGTCTTTTCCTTTTCTTTCTGTCTTTTCTTGTTTTCAAAAAAGCAAATGGTCTAGCCTACTGCCGCTAGGTGTTTAAAATAATAGACAAACTGAGTCGACTAACAATGACCCATTGTTTGATCAAGTCATCTGTGACGCGCACCACCGTAAATTCCGCAAATTTCACATATCAAATTGCGACAGTGTTGTTATTATTTTCAAGTAACGGCAGATCACCACATGGGCTTGTTTTGGGCACATTTGGCGACTTGGGTTTTGATGTTTTCTGCTAATTTCAACCGTCAGGTGCAGACAAACAAAGCAAATCATGGCTATAAAATGCGACGTGTGACGTCAATTGCCGCTAATGCAACAATCAGTCAATAATTGTTACATTCGAAGTTTGTTTATTTATTAATTTATTTGTTTGTTTATCTACGGACTTTTTCCTTAGACGTAAATCGTCTAGTGTTTACGGCTTGAACACATCAACAACAATCGTTTAGTAGTTATAATGGTTATAATCCCCATATTTATTAATAACAGCATGCATTTGTCTCCTTGAAAACATTGGTAAGGGCACCACTGACCAGACTTTAGGGTGGAGGCACAGGTCCAGTCGGTGTCGATCTCCCTGCATGACTCCCATAGCGACAGCGCGTATCCATCCGCCGTCACCCACGCGGGGCTCAGCAGCGCGACAATGTCCAGGCAAAGTGCGAGAAACACGCAGAGAAGAGCGATGAGTTTGAACGGCCGGAACACGTATACATCATTCACGGACATTTTCTCATAGCAGACTGTCGCGGGTCTCGCTCACTCGCGTCGGGATACGGAGTTCCGAGAGGCAGCAGCGGTGAAACGCTCGTACCGCCGGCAGTGAAAGTTTGTCGGTCTGTAAAGAGTTGAGCTGTGTGCGTGCCGATGACACTTTCCCGAACTGTGCACACCAGAGCGACGCGCCACCCAACGACCAATCGAGAAAAACACCATAGGCTACTGGGGAGACGGAAATGAAGTCAAGGGAAACGTTTAGAAATATCCATTCAGGACTTTAAAACAACGTTAAAAGTCCAAATAAACAAAAGTTTGTTTCCCCACCCAATCAGAATCAAGTACCGAAAATAAAGGTCTTATTAAAAAATAATAATAATTGAGTACAAGTAAACACAACAACATTGGGGGAAGATGCCCCCTTAAAAACAATGTGAATTTACTTTACAATTGTAACATAGGCTTATTTAATCGACTTTTGCAGGGTGATGATGCATTTGCTAAAAGTAAATTTAAACATTTGCTACAACTGTAGGCTACAAATGTAAATAATTAGGCTACTGATGATGACAGCCAAAGAAGAGTCCTAGTAAAAGAGATTCATCTGAAATGTAATTATTCTATCAATTATATAGCCTACAGGCATATGGATATTTAATTACCCATATTTTAATTGCAGATATGTCATAATAGCAATGTAAATTGAATGATTTCACTCAACTAATCGGTTTTAATGAAAACAAAGATGTCTGAAAAGTTTCTAAATCATTGAACTACTGAATAATAACCCCACGATTATTTTTTTTTCTTTACTTCAAAATAAATTTATATAACTTTATGTGACAATGTTTTGAAGCAATATTTAATGCAGTTTCTGTTGGGCTTTTAATTTGTCAAACACCGCTTTTCACTTGAACTTGAAGCGGGACAGTGATTTTAGGAAATATTTACAGTATCTGTTATAACTGTCTATTTGATTTTTGATTTTGTTTTTTTGTTGTCTATTTAATCATTTAAAACCCACAATAAAATCATGTGATTAAAAAGCATTACTTGTTTAAGATGAGCTTCTGTTGATACAAGTCTTGGCCTCATGATGATCCCATACTAACATTTAAAGGACAATTGATCATGCAACTTTTTTCCTCAAGACATTTTCAGAAATGTTTTATGTTGACTGGTTTGTGTAGACTACCTTGTGTGTGTTTTTTTTTTTTTTTTTTGTTATTTTGACGTTTATGTTGCATTCTGCACTGTTCTGTTTCCTTTGTCACATGTTGTAGTCCCTTTGTAGTTTTCTTCTTGATTCGTGTGTGTAACTCCAGTGTTTCCTGTGTTGACTGTCAGGTGTTCTTCATGTCTATGCAGTTCTGTTCCTAATGTTTTTTAGTTTAGATTATACTTTTATCTTTGTTATGCTTTTGGATCCTGCTCTCCCTCGTGTCTGAGTTTGACCACCTTATAAACACGATTTATGTTATAATTTTATGTAATTAGTTATTTACCGTTGCAATGTTTATTATACATTATTTGGTTGCATTTTTCTTATTTTAATTAATGTGTCCTGGTAATCAAAATCACTAGAGCTTTGTTTGAAATCACCCATACCCTCATTCACTATTCCCTACATTACTCCACTTGAAGGAGTGAATAAAAACGTGAGAGTGAATCTGGACACTAGAAGGGCTGCCGCTTTTGTTTGTTCTAGTTTGTACTTGCTGTTTAACAATCATTTGAAACTTAGCAAACGGCAGCTCCAGTAAATCAAAGATTTATCTTCATCTCTGTCATGGAAACTAGCATATAAACCTTAATCAAACAATTTAATAATCAATTAAAAAGGTATTTATTCCTGTGTGATATTACACTGTACCAGCAGGTAGGAAAATGGATGGACAACAGCAGTTGTACTCTTTATTGCGATGCATTATGGGATTCGATGAGTGCATTCAATATAAGGTCCACTATGGTTTCAGACACCAAATGGATGTACCCTCAAATAGCGCCGTATTTAGGCTGATTTCAGACAGCCAGGTGTGTTCAGTGTAAGATATTAGAGATTAGAGAGCAGACAGCTCCAATTCATCATAAAAAAACCTTTTAATAATCTCTGTAAAAAACACATAAAATAGACTAAGATAAAATTATATAAGATGCCTTTTTTGATAGATATTATCAAAAACATTACATATCAAATCAATGTCAACTAAAGATGACACTGAATAGCTTTTCAACCTTGAATGCTGCTTGACAAAGCCTCGCCAGAAAGTACAAAAAAAGTTGAGTTTGAAGGTTATACAAACTGTACAGACAGACAGGGAAGAGTAAAGTCCTTATGTTTCACATTTACAGTTTGAAATAACAGACATTCTGTCAATCAAAATCAAGTTTAGCTGTTCTGTTCTAAAATCATTGTAAACCACGGCTGCACTGGGCTTAATGCTTTTATAAAATGGTTGCTACATAAATAAGTATACAGCGACATAATTTGTTGATACATAATAATATTTCTACCAAGCATTAATTCTATCATTCAACAATTCTTCAGCAATTTTTAGCAGAATGGTTGCCAAGCAACACATAACAGACCCAGAGGCACAGTAATAAAGGAATAAACCCCTTAAAGGAGTAATTCACTTTTAAAAAAACTTTTGCTGATAATTTACTCACCCCGATGTCATCCAAGATGTCCATGTCTTTCTTTCTTCAGTCGAAAAGAAATGAAGGTTTTTGATGAAAACATTTCAGGATTTTTCTCCATATAATTGACTTCAATGGGAACCAAACGGTTTAAGGTCCAAAAGACAGTTTCAGTGCAAACTGTTCAAAGGGCTTTAAACGATTCCAGACGATGAATAATGGTCTTATCAAGCGAAACGATCGCTCATTTAAAAAAGAAAAAAGATTAAGTTTTATAAGCTCAAATTGTCGCCTTGCTTTGAAAAAAAAAAACAAAAAATGACTGAATCATAGGAAATGAATGTACAAAAACAAACATTCTCTGTATTTTTGTCTGTACAATCTACAAATCAGCCATGATTCTAAATGAAAGTACACCGCAGTAAAGGGGTGACACTCTACAACATCAAGAGTGCAAAAAATTCACACACACACACACACACACACACATACAAACACACTTTTATGCACATAGCAATAAATTCAGATTTTTCAGAGGTTTTGATTTTTTTTTAAATCACAGCTTCATCAGAATCTTACGAAACTTGGTGATATTTCTGGCATTAGGGATGTGAACATACAAAAAATTGAGTTGAATGATCCGAGCATGCTAAGTGGTCGTAAAAAAATTAGTCACAATTTTGGTCTTCGGTCAAAAATGACCCCCATAGGAAATGAAAGGGAAATTGACAAAAACACAAAAAAATCAACAATTTTTTTTTTCCACATTTTTGAAAAATAAGATATTGTTTTTTAGATTGTTTCAAATATATATTCAAATCCACACACACAAAAAAAAACAATAAATGTGTTCAACAGCTGGGGAATTTGCATGCCTCTCCATAGAGAGCTGTACATGCCATCTAGTGGTTACACCATGATTCTACGCTTTTTCTCTATACTATAACCAGATGGTGCTAATTTTCTTCAAAAACATTTTTTTTCTGAAGGCCTAGACTCTATATTAAACTAAAATGCTGCATTAATATTTTTCTGAAAAAAAAATAAATAAATAATAATAATATATATATAGAGAGAAATATATCTATATATATATATATTTTTCCATGGCAAAAATAGACCATGAATATTGCATAAATATTAATAAATTCAATCAATTTGTCTCAAAATACTAAATTAAAAAGAATAAATATTATAGAACAAAAATAAATTGCATTGGTTTTACTGAGATGGAGGAAGTTTCATTTTTAGGGGTCCTGTCACTTTTGACCCGGAAGGCCCAGGACGTGACTCCTAAACGAAGACCATCAGAGGGTTGATACAGGTAGTAGATGATTGCCATGACCTTAGCAGTATTATAAAGCGTTTTGCAGAGGGGAAAAGGGAACAACAGGGGGGATAAACGATGATATTTACATTTTTCTGTGTATCCTTGTGAGGAATGTGTCTATATGCAAATGGCCATTCAAAAATGGCATTACATAAAAAAATCTCAGAAGCACTTCTTTGTGCATGAAGGTTTGAAGTCAAACATCATTGGGTCTTGCATGTCTTGGAACCGTGACATATTTAAAAATGGGTAAAACACAATTTTGAGAGCTACGAACGAATGAACCAAACCCTTCTCTCAAGAAAGAGCATTTAAGGTGTCTCTGGGTCTGAGCGACTCTTATGTAGGTGCTAAAAATACAACACTGCAGTCATTATTGTAAGTGCACTGTGTGGAATAACACATAGATTCTCCTCTGACCTTAAAGCGTGTTACAAAAACGTTTCTACGGACCTGCATTTTTCTAAGATTGAATAGGTTTGTAATATGTAATATTTATATTAAAACAAAGATGATCATCCACACAAAATAGTGCATGCTAAGTAGGTCAGCGTCTTCAGAAATCTTCAGTCATGAATGATACAAAGCATGTGAACTTCATCCAGCCTTAATTAGCTTTGCCCTTTGCTGATACCAAGACATGTCAGAAAGAGATACGGGAGTGTCTGGAAAGAAGAAAAAAGAGATAGGAAAAGCGTTTGGAGGAGGATATCACAACATGGATGATTTATAAAGAGAGACAGAATGAGTTTTTTAAGATGCTGCACCAGAAGCTGAGCACCGGAACAGATCATCAATGCACACACACACACACACAAATTTAAACAACAACACTTGTGTACACACATATGCAAATAGATGCTTTATACATGTCTGAACTGGACATGCCCTGCCATCTTCCTATCCGCATCCCTGTTACTCATCCTGTCTCCAGGTCTGATTTGTTAGCATAATTGCCATTCCACACTCTTTCAGAGTTCATCCATACACTCATACAAGTCTGTCAAATATGTGTCTGTATATACAGTAATTAATGCTTACTAAGGCAATGAATGTTATACTATGCACATCAGGGTTGTAGCCAGTGTTGGGTAAGTTACTCTAAAAAAGTAATTCATTACTAGTTACTAATTACCTCTTCAACAATGTAATTAGATTACTGTATGAATTACTCTCTCTAAAATCTATTTAATTACTTTTAATTACTAATTACTTTCAAAATCCC